ATGGACAGCACCTCACGACAACGATAGCAAAATATGTATATACCACAGAACACACTTGTGAAGGCCCCCCCCCCCCAGGAAGAAGCAGACCTGAAGAAGGTCAGTGTGGAGAGCCATGACTGAGCTGTTAGTCTGCTGGCCACGTCTCTGCGTCCTGTCTGCCCCGGTCGATGGGATGAAGGTTTTGGGTAATTTTTTCATATCTGTGTTTCTGCAACGGAGCCTTGGTGTGGTGCAGAGGTTAAAGTGCTCAGTTGCTAACCCAGGGTGGGCAGTTTGAAGCCACTAGCCTCTCTTGGGAGAAAGATGAGGCAGTCTGCATCTTTAAAGATTTCAAAACAAAAAACCCCCCACTGCTTTCAAGTTGTAATCTGACTCACAGCAATCCTGCAGGGTAGGGTAGAATGTCCCTGGGATTGTCTAAGGCCATAAATCTCTACAGAAGCAGACTGCCACACTTTCTCACCAACAATGGCAAGCTGGTTAAAACCTTTGAGGTCACAGTTAAACACTTAAATCTTGATACCACCAGGGTGCCTTACCCATAATGACTGGTGCTGTCAAGTCGGTTCCGGCTCATAGTGACACTGTCTCTGAGGAGCAGCTGGTGAGCTTGAACCACTGACCTAACGGTTCAAATGACCCCGTGGTCCAGTGCTTATCCTACAGCGCCACACCAGGATTCGGCTGGGGGTATTTATTTAGGTGTGGTGCTGTGGGTTAATGCGCCAGACTGCAAGGTTGAACTGCAAGGTTGGCGGTTCAAGCTCACCAGCTGCTCCTCATAAAACCCTATACAGGGTTGCAACCGACTTGACGGCACTTACCAACAACAACAGAATGGCTGGTGGATTTGAACTGCCGATCTTACGGCTAGCACCCGTTCTTATCCTATAGTGCAACTGGGCCCCTTTTCTTTGTAGTTTTGGGTAGTGTGGTGGTTAAGTGGCTACTGACCCAAAAGTTGAGTGGTTTGAACCCACCAGCCGCTCCATGGAGAACGATGTGACAGTCTGCTTCCATAAAGACTTCAGCTCTGGAAAGCTATGGGGTAGTTGTAAGTGCGTTATAGGGTCGCTAGGGGTGGGTATTGATTTAATGGCTACAACATACCTTTCTACCTCCTGTGAGGATTTTTCCTCCTTGCTGTTGAATCCAATCTTTCTATGTTGTTGTTGTTAGGTACTGTGGAGTTGGTTCCGACTCATAGCGACCCTGCATAGGGTTTCCGAGGCTGTAAGTCTTTACGGGAGCAGAAAGCCTCATCTTTCTCCCACGGAACAGCTGGTAGTTTCTAACTGCTGACCTTGCGGTTCGCAGCCTGATTCGTAACCACTACACTACCAGAGCTCCTTGGAAATGCTATATAGTTTTACTGTAAGTTGAACCAACTTGATGGCACTTTAACTGCAACCACATACAAAGCTTCTGACACTGCTGACTGTCATAGGAGGGGCCAGCCTCATCTTTCTCTCTCCAAGCTGCTGGTGGGCTTGAACCATCAAACTTTCAGTGCTTAACCCACTGCACCATGTTGTTGTTGTTGGGTGTTGCATAGCAACCTTATGCATAACAAAATGAAGCACCCTCACAATTATTGTTAACACTTAAGCCCATTGCTACTGCCACTGTGGCAATACAGGTAATTTGTTGTTGTTAAGTGCCGTCAAGTTGATCCTGATCTATAGCGACCCTATGTAGGGTTTCCAAAGAGCAACTGATGAGCTTGAACCGCCAACCTTGCAGTTCAAGCGGCTTTGCAGTCTGGTGCATTAACCCATAGCGCCACACATAATTGGGTGTCATTTTTCACTGACCCTCCACTACCAAGTCCTTCTCTAGGGCTTGGTCCCTCCTGACAATATGTCTGAAGTATGAGAGACAAAAACTCACCATCCTGTCTTCTAAGGAGCATTCGGACTATAGTTTTTCCAACACAGATCTGTTGGTTCTTTTGGCAGCCCATGGTACTTTTAATATTCTCCTCCAACACCATAACTCAAATGCATCAATTCTTGTAAAGTTTTCCTTATTCACTGTCCAACTTTCACATACATATGAGGTTATTGAAAATAGCATGGGTTGAGTCAGGCACACCTTAGTCTTCACACTTAACATCTTCGCTCTTCAGCGTTTTGAAGAGGTCTTGTGCAGCAGATTTACCTAATGCAATCATAAAGAATACATCTTTTGATTTCTTGACTGATGCTTTACGTAAGTGTTGAATGTGGATCCAAGCAAAATGAAGTCTTTGACAACTTCAATCGATTCTCCATTTATCATGTTGTTATTTATTGATCCAGTGGTGAGGATGTTTGTTTTATTTACATTGAGTTGCAACTACCGGAGGCTGTGCTCTTTGATTTGATCAGCAATTTGAAACTGAAGAAGTCGTTGGTGGTGGTGTTCATTTGCCGTGGAGTCAGCTCTGACCTTTAGCCATCCTGTGTAGGGTTTCAGAGGCAGTAAATCTATACGGGAGCAGAAAGCTTCGTCTTTGTTCTGTGAAGCTGCTTGTAGTTTTGAACTGCTGATCTTGCAATTAGCAGCAGCCTAACTTGTGACCAACTCTGATACTAGGGCCCCTTGAAGACACTGATGGAATTCTTCGATTTAATTGTCACTAACACCCTCAGAAACCCTATACAGGGTCGCTATGGGTCGGGAACCGACTCGACGGCACTTAACAACAACAACAACTTTAGTGGTTGGTGTTTAAATGTATAGTTAAATAATAGTGGCATAAACTGATACACTTTGTAAGCTTATGAATATTTTCTTATCACGGACAGCATTATACTTCAAGATAGATTCTGCGATGTTCTTTTTGACGATGAATGTGACACCATCCTTCTAGAATTTGTCATTCGGGCATAGTAAACCGTGTGATTCTCCGATTTAAAACCATCAGTTCCAGTCCATTTCAACTCACTAATGCCTAGGATATCGATCTTGATGAGTTCCATGTCATTTTTGACAATTTCTAATTTACTCAGATTCGTACTTCGTACATTCCATGCTCCGATTATTAATGGATGTTTACAGCTGTTTGTCCTCTCTCTGAGTGGTGCCCCATCAATAAATGAAGGTCCCGGAAGCTGTACTCCATTCGCGTCACTATGGTCTGCCCTACTTTGAGGCGGCAGCTCTTCCCTGGTTGTATTTCACGTGCCTTCCAACCTGAGGGGCTCACCTTCTGGCACTGTATCTGACAATATTCGGGTGCTCTTCATCACGTTTCAATATTTCATATTCTGGTGCTGATGGTGTTCCACTGCTTTTCATAAGGTTTTCAGTGAGTAAATACTCAGAAATACTCCGCGTCTCCTTCTTCCTAGTCTGTCTGTTTGGAAGCTCCGTCGAAGACTGCCCACCATGAGTGACCCTGCTGGGATAAAAATACCTGTGGCCTAGCTTCTAGAATTACAGCATCACGAGGCTGCCACAGTCTGACAAACTGACCAACAAGTGCTAGGTGACATATGTTATTGTTGTTAAGTGCCGTTGAGTCGGTTCCGACCCATAATGACCCTGTATAGGGTTTCCAAGGAGCAGCTGGTGAGCTGGAACTGCCGACCTTGCAGTTCAAACCGCTTTGCAGTCTGGCGCATTAACCCACAGAGCCACACCAGGACTCCGGGTTACACGTGTGTCAAATGGAATAAAGTATTTGCAAAGAGGGCTTCATCTATTGTTCAGAGGAATGAAGGAAGCTGGTGCTAGGCCCCAGAATGTAAGCAGAGCACACACAGCTCTGCGTGATGTAGGGAGAAGCTCTCCCACCCTCCACCCTCCAGTGGGGTTCATTTGGGTACTTGGTTGATAGTCAGGGATCGGCCCGAATCACATGATATTAGGGGTAGCTTGTAGAATCGTTGCATTCCCATTGCTAGAGCAGACTTGTTATTCTGAATGTCTGAATGTTTCTGTAAGGTGTTGTTGAATTGGTTCCCACGCACAGTGACCCTGGAAGTCCTTCAGCCTCACAATCGCTCCTTTAAGCCCATTGGTGCTGCCACTGTGTCAGTCCATCTCATTGGGGGTCCTCCGCTTTTTTGCCGACCCGCTACCTCACCCCAGGGTCTGGTTTCTCCTTATAACAGGTCTAAAGCATGTGAGACAAGACCACTGTCCTGCTTCTCAGGAGCGTTCAGGTTGTACTTCTTACCAGGTAGATGTACTCATTTTCTAGCAGCTCGTGGCATATTTAATATTCTCTGCCAACACGGTAATTCCAAGGCATCATTCTTCTCGGGCCGTCCTTTGTCATTGTCCAGCTTTTCTTCACACATGGCTGGGTCAAGTGCACCTTAGTCCTCAAAGTGACATCTTGGCCTTTGAACACTTTTTGTTTTTGCGGCGGCAGCATCAGGATTTCGACTGCCCACTGGGCCGGACGTCACTGTCCAGATTTCTGCAGCTTCTGGTATCAGCTGACTATGGAAGTGAAGGAACAATGTTTGCTTGAAGTCAGACTCCGGCTTGGGCTTTCAGACCAGTGTGTCTAGCTACCAGAGTTGGGGAGCTGGGACAGTCCTGACTTTATTAATAAATGTACAGTACAATTCATTTGGAGTCCTGGCATGGCAATGTAGAATATGCACTGGACTGCAAGGTCAGTTTAAACTGCATGGTGGGCGGTTCAAACCCACCAAGCTGTTCCTTGGAAACCCTGTACAGGGTCACTATGATTTGGTACTTAACAACAACAATTACAGCAAGAAACAGTTCGTGTTGTCCTAAGAACGTTGCAGTAGGCCCAGATGAGCTAGACTTGACTTGGAGTTCAGGAGAGGAATTCCTGGGTACAGGGTGGCCCCTCTGGCTTTTTGTTGTTAAAATGTCCTCTGCAATGTCTTTGTTTCCCAGTAGAAGTGACCACCAGAGTCTTCGGCTATGCTCCAATGTCACCTGCGTCCTCAGCCACCTTGCTTGGCTCTGGTTTAGAGGGAGGGTGTTGTGGCCTCCTCACTCATTCCATGTGCTGTGGTCTTTTTCAGAGAGCCGGATGGTCATCCCGGATATCCCTGTTGCTACCAGCAGGGGGCACATGGAGAACGCACCTGAACTGGTGCCCGACTCTGCCTACTACAGCAGCTTCTACCAGCCTTCGCTGTTCCCCTACTACAACAACCTCTACAACTACCCGCAGTACTCCATGGCCCTGGCTGCCGACTCTGCCCCTGGGGACATGGCCAGTCCCCTTGGGGGCTCCCCCGTGAAGAACAGTCTGCGGAGCCTCCCGGCACCTTATGTGCCGGGTCAGACGGGAAACCAGTGGCAGGTAGGTTATTATCTGCTAGTGGTTGAGGTGTGGAAAAATCACACTCAGACAGACAGACAGACAGACAGACAGACGGGTTGAGGTGTGGAAAAATCACACTCAGACAGACAGACAGACACACACACACACACACACACACACACACACACAGAGCACCTTACGTGCCGGGTCAGACGGGAAACCAGTGGCAAGTAAGTTGTTTTCCGCGAATGGTCGAGGCATGAAAAAATCACCCTCACACATGCATACCCACACAGAACACGCATGCATACAGACAGACATACACACACACACATAGCACCTTACGTGCCGGGTCAGGCGGGAAAGCAGTAGCAGGTAGGTTGTTATACATGAATAGATGGGGTGTATGAAAATCACACTCATACATGCACACAGACAGACACACATACAGACAGACAGACACACAGCACGTTACGTGTCTGGTCAGATGGAAAACCAGTGGCAGGTAGGTTGTTATCTGCAAGTGGTCGGGGGTGTGTGAAAATCACACTCACACATGCACACACACACACAGGGCCTTCTGTGTCCAGTCAGATGGGAGACCAGTGGCAGGTGGACGCTGTCCTTGGAGGGGACTGGTTTACTGCTGTCGAGTTGGTTCCGACTCACACTCCATTCGAGTAGTCTGGGGTGTGTGAAAATCACACTCACAAACACACACCCTCCCACTCACTATGCACGTTTTGAAACCCACGGAGAGACTTTGGATCATGCCATTTAGCTGCAGAAAGCCGGCACCTCCTCCCCCTTCCAACCCTGACCCCTCACCCCCCAACTCTGAGAGCCAGCCCCTCTTCAGAGGCCCCGATGGTGCTGGGCTTTACTCCACGGCGATTTTATTTTTTCACTTCATCTTGTGAATTAGGTGAAGGTTTGCAGAACAGATCAGTTTTCCATTCAGTAATTCAGACACACTTGGTTTCATCTCCTTGATTGCAGTGTGATATCACTCCCCCCACTTCCTCCCTGTGTTTCCGGTTTCTGTTCCTCCTTCTTTCCAAACCCTTCTGAACTTGGTTCCTGAGTAAATGCTGCCTGCCCTTCTGCTCCCAGCTGGTTGAAGATTCTAAGGACTACGTAGCTCCCTTGTGTTACTGTTCCCCTTGCAGACCTGTGTTGTTTGGCTGAACACTGAACCAAGGGTGTGAGTGCAGTCCCAGACCTGATGGGTGCCTAAGGGCAATAGTCTTGGGGTCTCCATCAATTCTATTCAACCAGGAATGCTGGCCTTTCTTATATGTGATTTTAAGTGTTCTTCCACATTTTTCTCCCACTCTGTCCAGGACCTCCAAATGGAATCCCTTTCAGAGAAGTTGCTAGTATTAGCAGGGCACCATCTAGTTCTTCTGGTCTCAGGGTCATGGGTAGTCACATGGTCCACAAATCCAATAAACTGTTTTCCTGAGTCTTGAGTTTCTTCACCCTTGCTTAGGACAGGAAGAGACCTTACATAGCTGATCACAACCTTCGAAGGCCCCAATCTCTACTCACCAAAGTAGGATGGTGAACATTGTCTTTGTGGACTGTGTTTTGCCCATTGACCATGGTGTTCCCCCAAACCATGATCCCAAGCCCCCAGGCCCAGAGACTGAATGCCTTGAGGTGTTCGGTTAAAGCTGAGATGTGTTCAGAACTTTACCTTCTATACTTTCTACCACCCACATTCACGGGTATTTGAAGTTTTTACTTTATTTCTTGTTGAGGAGATTATTCACATCAGAGCATACACAACTCAGCCGTGAGAACTGAGCGTTCACATGAGTTTAAAGGAAGTGGGGTCACTCTAGAAGTTGGTCTCCTTTAGGGCTTTTCAAAGGCTGTCCTGTGTGATGAGTTGGGGCAGTTTTCAGGGTGATTTCTGATGCAGATCTATAACAGGTAGCTTCTGCGGTGGATTCTTGGGGATCATGGGCTGCTGTTAAGAGCATCCTGCCTTTTGGTTGCTTCTTGACTTTGAGGAGAAAGTGGGAAGATGGAGGAGCCTGATGCAGAAGAGAGATGGAGGGACAGAAGGAGAGAGGGTGGGGAAACCAAAGTCTTAATAGGCTAGTCAGTTAGCTCATCAAGGTCAGTTTTACAGTGGAGCCAGAAACCTCATAAAATCACAAGCCTCCCCTTTGTGTCAGGAAGCACTGGTGGTGCACATGGTTAGTGTAGTTGGAGGTAAGAGTCCCTCTAGAGATGCCTCAGAATAAAGTCCTGGCTATCTACTTCTGAAACAAAAACCAGGCATTAAAAACCCCACAGATACCCCACAAGTCAACCCACCTTGGTGGCAACTGGTTACTGGCATACATAGTACTTACAAAGATATCAGGATTAGTCAAAAAGTATTGCTTCTAGGGTTCCAGTTCGTACCTGCGTGGGCATGTCCTAAACAGAAACGTGTTCCAACACGTCTGCCGTCAGCATGCTTGTCTTAGTCTCATGTCAGTCCCTTTAAATTAAAGGTCCAGTCAAAACAGCCAGGTCAAGACAGAGAGGTCAGCCCCGACGGTTCTGGTAACTGTGTTTGGGGATTACAAAGGGGACATCTTTCTAGTGGGAGTCCTAGTGTGGCGCTGTGGGCTAATGCATCAGACTGCAAAGCCGTTTGCACTGCATGGTTTGTGGTTCAAGCTCACCAGCTGCTCCTTGGAAACCCTATACAGGGTTGCTATGGGTCGGAATCGACTCTACAGCACTTAACAACAACAACAACAACAACAACACTGGCTAGTGACCGTGAGCATTTCTTCATGTTGTTGGCTGCCTGAATGTCTTCTTTGGTGAAACATCTGTTCATGTCCTCTGCCCATTTTTAAATTGGATTATTTGTTTTCTTTTTGTTGAGGTATGTAAGTGTTCTATACATTTTAGACGGTAACCCTCGTCTGATATTTGACTTGCCTTCATGTTTAAGGGATGAGACCTGCCCAATTTAGGAATAACTGAGGTGAGAGGTTCTGAAGGAAATGGGGTGTGGAAGGGGACTTTTCTTCTTGGCCTTGCTGGTTTGGGAGGACAGGGTGGTCCTGTGGACACTGCCTCCTGGAGAGGAGACAAGCTGGCCAGAGGAGGTCAGGCGGGGACTGTGGTCCTCAGTCGTTGGTCCCACAGCAGGACTTGGGGAGCACCTAGCCACTCTGTCTGACTCACCCCTTGTCTGACCCGGGCTGCCCCTGGAGGGCCCCCCCCCCGTCCAAATCCGTCACTCTTTACCGCTCAGCCTGACCCTCCCGCTGACATAGCTCCACAGGCTGAGGCCTCGTCGGCTGCCATCCTCATCCCTCCTGGGTCCCTGGCTCTGAGTGTCTGTGTGACTGGTTTCAGCCAAGAGCGGTTTTCGGAGTCCTAGAAAAATCCCACCACAGGAGACAAGCGTATCTGTTTGCAGTAGACAACCTAGAGGCCAGCAGGGAGCGAAGGGAAGGATTTGCAAAAGGAAGTCCCCCGTCCACAAGCCTCCCTGTAATCAGTGGAGCCGCAGATAGTGACTGCATGAAGCTGTGGCACCGCACGATAAGCACTGGACCGCAAGGTCGGCGGTTCAAATTCACCAGCTGCTCCTTGGAAACCCTATACAGGGTCACTATGCGTCAGAACCAACATTTAACAACAAAGAACAGACCTGGTGCCTATGGGCCCAGTCCGGTCATAGCGACCTTGCTGAGTTGCATACCCTCTTAAATGCCAAAGAAGCTATGGTGGCACCACAGAACCAAGGCCTGGTGATCAGCTTCTGTAACGACGACAGCCTTGGAAACCCTGTGGGGCAGTTGTGGTTCCGTCCATAGCGTTGCTTAGAATTGGAATCGGCTAGATGGCAACAAGGTTTTTTGTTTGTTTGTTTGTGGGTGGCACAGTGGCTGAGTGCTCAGTTGCACTGGTTTGAACCCACCAACAGTGTCTACTCTAAGTACAAAAGGAGTCTTAATGACGCATTGGTCAAGCACTGGCTGCTAATGGAAAAGTCGGGTGTTTGAACCCACCCAGTGGCGCCACCAGAAGCAAGATCTGGTCATCTGCTTCTGTAAAGAAGACAGCTGAGGAAACCCTATGGGGCAGTTAGTTCTGCTCTTCCATATAGACTCGACAGCAGTGGTGCCACTAATAAATAACAAGTGAATGCACTTGGCCCCAAAACTGAAAGGCTGGCAGTTAGAGGTGCATCGGAAGAAAGGCCTGGTGATCTCCTGAAAAATCAGCCTTGAAAACCCCATGGAGCCCAGTACTCCTCTGACATGCAGGAGTCCCACGGAGTTGCCTCTTTGGTGACTGTTTTGTTGTTTTCTTTTTACAAAGAGCAAACCTTTTGGGATAAGAGCTACGTGCTGGGTCAGCATGCCCCTTCAGCCTCTCTCGAGCTCGCTCCCTCCGGCTGAGGAGATTTGTGGCTCAATCATAGACCGCTGTCCTGCTGAGAAACAGGAATAACATTTGTGATACTGCAAGAAACTCAGGATGGATGACCGCGTCCGCTCCCCTGCAGCTCATTGCGCTTCTGCATTTAATTGCCTGCAAAAGCTGTTTATGGCCGCGTGCACTCCTCCACGCCACATTATCTCTTAAATAAACATGTTGTACCAGGCTGGCCGGGGAGAGGTGCTCAGAAAGAAATATACGACGGCTCGAGCTGTCCCTGTCTCTTCCTCTGTCCCCAGGGAGAGCATCCCACCGCCCAGCTGTCTAGACCTTAAAAACCCAAGCTACTGTCCTTGAGTTGGTTCCCACGCATAGCAACCCCACAGGACAGGATAGAACAGCTCTGTAAGGGTTTCCTGAGGCTGTTAATCCTTACAGGACCAGAACACTACAGAACAGCTGGTGGGTTTGAACTGCCGACGTTGTGATTAGCAGCCCAATACTTGGTATCACCTGGTCTTGTGGTGGTCTGGCTACAGTGAGGTTCTGATGACTATGGAAATGATTTCATTCCTCCTGGTGGCGAGTTTAAGGAGTGCTGGTGGCACGCTGGATTAAGCAATGGTCTGTGTACC